GACAGACAGACAGCGGGAGAGGGAATGGACCGAGATAGATTCAGTCCACGTACTTACTGTAGTTCCAGACTCATATATCCGCTCATAGCGACTGGAGTAAATCTATATCGCACGCAGTGAGTCTAGAGTGACTAGAGAGAAGTGATCTTTCGGAAGTGGGGTGACAAAATATCAAATGAATATCTTCTGAATGGACTGCATTCACTCGTGCTGGCTATAGGCACTATACCTGCCCCTACACTACGCTCCACGAGCAAGCGCGCGCATGCGCACACCTGCATATTGTCACAGATGCTACTCATATGCGTTGCTGCACGAGAGAGAGAGAGGGAGAGAGCGCGCGCCGGCAGCAGCAGTGATCCCCGGATGAGGAAGGATGCAGGAGGCTGCACGCCGGATGAGGATGCTATCGCACGGTGTGTTTCCGCGCGCAGCATCCCACGTGGAAATCGCATCCCTCTGCTGCTGCTGATGCTGCCACCGTTGACGGTGATGAGAATGATGACGATGATGGTGATGATGACGATGATGGTGGTGGTGGTGATGATTCTGCAAGCAGCTGTTCCGACTTTGTATTTATCAGTGGCGTGATTTGTGTGGACGCAGTGGCAAGCAGGGATTCACTTGGCTTTCCTGCAGCAGAATCCCCCATAGCAACCGTGTCTGAGCATCCCGTCGGTAGGCTCAGCCTCCGCGTCATCCGGCAACGTTGGCTACCGTGCGTCAGGTCGTCGTCAGGTCGGCGTGACTGTGTATACGTACGTGGTGACGTCTCCGTTTGTGAGCTCAGCGTTGGTGACGCCTCCGTCTGTGACCTCAGCGTTGGTGACGTCTCCGTCTGTGACCTCAACGTTGGTGACGTCTCCGTCTGTGACCTTAGCGTTGGTGACGTCTCCGTCTGTGAGCTCAGCGTTGGTGACGTCTCCGTCTGTGACCTCAGTGTTGGTGACGTCAGCGCCGTGGCGGTGAATGCGCGGCTAAGGAGGATAACATACGAGCAGCGGGATGCTGTAGACATTGACTGCAGCGACAGGCACGAGCTGAGAGAGTCCTGCTCGTGTGTCTTGTGCTCTGCCCAAAAAAAGTTGAGCTGGGCATATCTGTGTGGATCTATCTGACTATATCATCGTTCTATGTGGCCCCATTCTGTGTGCGCTTAGTGTGTACGTGCTCTACACTGTGTGTGTGCTAAAGTTCGCTATATGCTGCCGGTGATCCATGGATGGACACGACAGCTGGACACGTGCCATTGTAACACGGAGTTACATGTGTGCCAGTCATCAAACTCTGACGATGTGCCCGTGATAGAGAGATAGAGGGAAAGAGAGTGCGATAACGAGAGCTGGAGAGAGTCAGAGAGAGAGAGAGAGAGAGTCAGAGAGAGAGAGAGAGAGAGCGAGAGAAAGAGAGAGCGAGAGAGAGAAAGAGAGAGAAAGAGAGAGCGAGGGAGAGAGAGAGAGAGCGAGAAAGCGCGCGCGAGAGAGAGAGAGCGCGCGCACGAGAGAGAGAGAGAGAGAGAGCGCGCGAGAGAGGGACAGACAGATACGAGTGACATGGAACGCAGCCATTCATACTATCACGTTGCTTATCATCTGTGGCGTTCTATCTTCGGCTGTCTGCATCTCCGTGAGTGTCACCCCGATGTGGGAACTTCCCACGGAGTGTTCGTGAGGGGCGTAGCGTAGCAGTCTCGTGCCCCAACGTCGTGCGTGCGTTCGTTTCGTGATGTTGTCACCGGGGCGACGTGTCTTTGGGACACAAGGCGACGCGTAGTACTGACTTCGTGGGTTCTGGTATACTGCGATGCGTGGGTTCCGGTATATTGCGATTCGTGGGTTCTCGTATATTGCGATGCGTGAGTTCTCGTATATTGCGATGCGTGGAACGCGCTCAGCTGCCGCGGGTGTCTTTTACTTTGTCGTTACATCAAAGTGACGAACTTTGAATATATATAGCTATCATCGTAATGCACACGACCGTATAACCGCAACAAATCATAAACTAGCACATCTGCTGTTCTGCATGGGACTGGTGCGTGCGTGCGTGCGTGCGTGCGCGTGCGTGCGTGCGTGCGTGCGTGCGTGCGTGCGTGCGTGTGTGTGTGTGTGTGTGTGTGTGTGTGTGTGTGTGTGTGTGTGTGTGAGCATAGAGTGGGGGCAAGACGCAGCCCCGGGTTGTGGGTGAGGGGCAGAGTTCAAGATACGGCCTCGGGCTGTGGGTGAGGTGGTAGGGTTCAAAATACGGACGTCGGTTGTGGGTAAAGGGCAATGTATAAGATACGGCCCCGGGTTGTGGGTAGGAGAGTAGAGGCTCACAAAACAGCTCTGGGGGATGGGTCAGAATTCTGGGGATGCGGAACAACCCCCCCTCCCCCCATGACTAGTGTTGGCAAGGGGCCACGTGTGGAGGCGAAAAAGATGCAGCCGTCGGAGGTTGGGGAAGACTGTGGCGAGGAACTCTAGGGTGAACTCTGTGATATGTGACATGTGATAGATGGTGGTGGTGGCCACCGACCGGGCAGTAACACGGGGCTAGCACACGGGGGAGGAATGTAGAACATGTGTGCGGCGGCGGGGGACGCCGCTCTCTGTTACTGCTTATCCCGCGACCGGGAGTGTGTTTAATTTGGCTGGAATTTGCGAGGCTGGGGATGATTTTCAGCGTCTCTCATGCACTCCTCCGGTATCTCGGTTCGCCGTCACATTCGAAGAAGACAACTTTCTAACTGTGATGTGCCTTGCTTGTGTTCTGACCTCCGTACAGTTTAGTTTGATGATGATACTGATACCGACGTTGATGTTGCTGCTGTTATTGCTGCTGCTGCTGCTGCTGCTGATTATGTGATGATGATGATGATGATAATGATGTTGTTGTTGATGATGGTGATGATTATGATGCTGCTGCTGATGATGATGCTGCTGCTGCTGCTGTTGCTGCTGCTGCTGCTGCTGCTGCTGCTGCTGCTGCTGTTGCTGCTGCTGCTGCTGCTGCTGCTGCTGCTGATGATGATGATGGTATAGAACATGATGTAAATGATGGCGATGCTGTCGCTGACACTGATATTGTTTATGCTGATGTATCAGCCGCTGGTGATGATGCTGATGATTTCGTTGCCGATGCTAGCAAGAATGATGATGTTGATGCTAATACTCATCAGGGAGATACTGACAATATTATACATGCATACAGCATTCCGATTCTGATCAGCAATTCGATATATCGAGCTTGTTTATCGATCCAGCATCACATGAAATGACACGATGGGTGCTTCTCAGACATTGTCAGCTTATTACATCAGACACAACAGAGAAAATTGTCAATCTTGGACGCGTCGTCATTTATATTTGTTGAGTTTGCATGCAGTCAGTGAGTGAGTGAGTCAGTAGGGAGGTAATTGTGGTAGTGTTGATGGAGAGCTGTCATCAGCTGTGTCGTGCTGGCAGGTGTGCGACCAGCTCTAGAACTATAGCCCTTCGCTCTGCTACAGGCATAGTCCTGTGCAATCCTTTGCACTGTCCTGTGCAGTCCTTTGCACTGTCCTGTGCAGTCCTTTGCACTGTCCTGTGCAGTCCTTTGCACTGTCCTGTGCAGTCCTTTGCACTATTCTGTGCAGTCCTTTTCACTATCCTGTGCAGTCCTTTGCACTATCCTGTGCAGTCCTTTTCACTATCCTGTGCAGTCCTTTGCACTATCCTGCGCAGTCATTTGCACTGTCCTGTGGCAGATCGAAGGGCTATAGTTCTAGAACTAGTGAGCGAAGGATAGTGGCAACGTTGGCTACTCGTCGTCAGGTCGATCGTCAGTGGCGTGACTGTGTTATAGTACGTGGTGACGTCTCCGTTTGTGAGCTCAGCGTGTGACGCCTCCGCCTGTGACCTCAGCGTTGGTGACGTCTCCGTTCTGTGACCTCAACGTTGTGACGTCTCCGTCTGTGACGCTTAGCGTTGGCTGACGTCCTCCGTCTGTGAGCTTCTCAGCGTTGGTGATTCGTCTCCCGTCTAGTGACGGCTCCAGGTTGGTGAACCGTCAGCCGCCGTGGCGCCGTGATGCGCGGCTAAGGAGGATAACAATCGAGCAGCGGGGAATGCTGTAGACATTGACTGGCAGCGACAAGCACGAGCCTGAAGAGAGTCCCTGCTCGTGTGTCCTTGTGCTCTGCCCAAAAAAAGTTGAGGCTGGGCATATCTGTGTGGATGGCTATCTGAGCTATATCATCGTTCTAATTGCCCCATTCTGTGTGCGCTTAGTGTGTACGTGCTCATACACTGTGTGTGTGGCTAAGTTCGCTATATGCTGCCGGTGATCCGCATGCGATGGACAGACAGCTGGACACGTGCCATTTAACAGCGGAGTTACATGTGTGGCCAGTCATCAATACTCTGACGATGTGCGCCGTTGATAGAGAGACTAGAGGGACAAGGAGAGTGGCGATAACCGGCAAGCGGACGAAAAGTCAGAGAGCAGAGAGAGAGAGATCAGGAGAGAGAGAGAGAAGAGCGGAGAGAAAGAGAGAGCGAGAGAGAGAAAGAGAGAGAAAGAGAGAGCGAGGGAGAGAGAGAGAGAGCGAGAAAAGCGCGCCAGCGGAGAGAGAGAGAGCGCGCGCCGACGAGAGAGGAGAGAGAGAGAGGCGCGAGAGAAGGGAACAGACAGATACGAGTGACATGGAACGCAGTGCCATTCATTACTATCACGCGTTGCCTATCCTGGGCGTTCTATCTTCGGCTGTCTGCATGTCCCGTGAGTGTCAGCCGGCCCCGATGTGGGAAGTTAGGAGTGTTCGATGGGGGCGTAAAGGCGTAGGCAGTCTCGTGCCCACACGTCCGGCGTGTCTTTTCGTTCGTGATGTTGTCCGGGGCGAACGTGTCTTTGGGACACAAGGCGACGCGTAGTACTGACTATACCAGCGTCAAGTTACCGACGCAGCCACCGCCGCCGCTGCTGCTGCTGTTGTTGTTGCTGATGCTGTTGCTGCTGCTGCTGCTGTTACGGAAATCATGGTGAAGATGCAGCGTGAGAACACAGTGTCAAGCACCATCTCCAGCGGTGACGAGTTTACGGAGGTAAGCAGGCGCGGCGCCACAAAGGAAGCTGTACGAGTGATGTCATCATCGTCTTCCACTGCTCAGGAGGGAGGCAACCAAGGCTTTATATGGCTTCATAACCTCCTCCCCTCCTGCTTCTTCTCCCCTCCTGCCTAGTCTAGCCATCCCTCTCCCTCTGCACCTGCGCATCACCGCATTAACAATGATATTAACAGCGTGGTTAGAACGCGCAGAGAGAAACTGGAATGCGTGAAAGCTGATGCTGATGCTGATGCTGGCTGATGTTTGACTGCGATGCTGATGATGATGCTTGCTGCTGCTGAGTATTCTGTGCTGACTGCTGCTGCTCTGATGCTGTGTGATGCCTGAAATGTGATGCCTGATTATGATGCTGTGCTGCTGCTGCGCTGCTGATGTTTACTGTTGAATGCTGATGCTGAGTAGCTGATTCTGATGTTCTGTGATGTATTCTGATGCTGATCGTTGATCATGATGGGCTGAATGTCTGACTGCTTGGCTATCGTCTGAAGTTGATGCCGATGATAACGCTGATGTTGATGCTGATGCTGATGCTGATGACGCAGTATAGTACATGTCTAATCACCCCACGAGACCGTATATCAAATCTCTCCAGCCACCATCATCCTCCGATGATGCGGTATTGAATCTCGCTTTGACGTATAGCTGCGCAAGCCGCTGCCGCCTTTTGTAAGAAGAAGCTACACATGCTGGTAAACACTTATCCTGCTTACGTGTACTAACGCCCAGATTGATTCTTAAAATTGAAGTATAATTAGCAGCGAGAATGGATGCTTACGTCATCATCCCTGTTTACGCTGTCTCAATACTCGTCTGGCGAATAAGTAAATGCCGGATGTAATATAAAGAAACCAAATAAGTAAATAATTAGTATATTATTTATTGTGTTATTCGACATACAAGTAGTGATGCGGTAGGCTTCGCTGGTGTCATATAGCGGAACGTAGTCCCTGTATCGTATTCAAAGTGCAACCGCGCTTGTAGAGTATGTGCTTCTGTGAGGTATACAGGGGCGTTAGTGGAACGCCCCACACACACCATCTATTATATATATATATATAATATTATATATTATATATA